GGAGAGCAGGGCCCATCACGTGTAACGTGGAGTTCCTTGGGAAGACAGACGCCATCACTCCAGATGTCCCCCCTTCCTCCTCCTTCCTCCCACCTTATATACTGAGCATGATGTCATATGGTATGAAATATCCCTTTGGTCAGTTTGGGTCACCTGTCCCAGCTGTGTCTCCTCCCAGTCTCCCATGCATCCCCAACTTCCTTGCCAGCATGGCAGTACGGAAAGCAGCAAAGGCCTTGACTCTGTGTAAGCTCTGCTCAGCAATAACAAAAACATCTCTGCATTATCAACTCTGTGTTCAGCACAAAACCCAAACATAGCCTCATACTAGCCTCTATGAAGAAAGTTAACTCTACTCCAGCTCAAACCAGCACACAGACCTAGTGCCAAATGACAGGACTATACTGAAGTAACCAGTAGATTAAAACTGTTTTATAGTAGCAACAGTAGTTCTTCAGGTCAAAATGCAGTCTTGCTTTGAGTGAAAATTAAGTGTAAATGACAGAAGAATTAAAATATGGAACATTACTGAAATATGTTGATTGTGTTACATTTGAAAAAGAAAGGTTTTTTTAGGAGGTGGCAACAGGAAGAAATGGGGTTGAGTTGAAGTTTGTTTAACATGAGGATTCTTTGTCATTGTGCTGTAGCCAGCTGATAACACAGGTATATTAGCCACAGCAGTTTAGAAAACTGGAGCATACTGTATTGCATATTATTAACAGAATGACTGGTAAAAGACATGGCAAGTTTTGAAGTATCTATTTGTATAAGGGCATAATTAAACAGTATTGCAGGTAGTTAGAGATAATTTACATTCTTTATACTATATGATAATAAATAATTGCACATGTTTCTTTTCATAGTAATTTTGGGGGTTATTTCTAATGAATCTATGTAGATACCAGATTAAAATTTATTCTTCAAGAAGGAAGAGGAATTTTTGGTATTTAAACAAAAATAACACATTAATTATATTTTAATATTAAAACTACATCTTTTTTTAAAGAGTGGGAAACAGCGAGAAGCTCAGAAGCTGCTAAAGAAAATACTCAAACTACACAGAGTGCTGCAGTTGATAAGAGTACCGTAATTACGACACAGACAGAAGCTTACACACAACCAGTCACTATGCTGCAGGTTGGTATTGGTCTGAGTTTGCAAAACCCCCCAGAGCTGGAGGACAAACGTTTTATTCAATACAGGTGAACTTCAATGCTGAGTCAAAGTGCTTATGTATTTTTTATCTAAGTCCTGCACCCATTAGTGTTTATCTCTTAAACATTTTAGAGTAAGATTGGTTGCCATGGTTAAGCATATTTATTTTCATGCGGTTGCTTAGTACAAAAGTTTTTGTATTTATATTATTAATGTTTTGTCTTTCATAACATGTATAGACATTTCTAGTGCTTCAACTGATGTAAAATTACTATGAATGTTAATATATTTGCTTGCATTGAATTCTGAGCTTTTCTCTTTTCACAAAAATTGTCTTCAGTCTTATTTCAAGTGTCTCCTAGTGTATACTATGATCAGTATATATATCTAAATAGGCATGTACATATGGCATTTATTCTGCTGCTTATTACTTGTAAATATGCTGCACTGTATAAAAACATGTAGCTCAAACATAAGTTTGAGAAATATTAAATAATTATCAGGATTTCATCAGGATTATTAGCCTTATAATTATATGCACTGAACTCAGCTTTCCAGTGCTGTTCTAAAATAACATATTTTTTTTCCAATGAGAGCAGAATCACTGTTTTCTAACTGCTCTCAAATTGCCACACTGTCTACATTTTCCTTCCTTTCCTCTCTCTCTACCTTTCTGCATTCACCCCTCTCCCATAGGTAAATTTTTATTTTTGAGTAAGTATAGTGTTTAACTATGTATTTTTCTGGTCCTCTGAGAATAAAGACTAGGATTCTTGCAGTGTCCTTGCTTGGCTGTAGTGTAGGTACCATTGCAGAATGCAATGTTAATTCTTCAGGGTGTTCAGAATATATACAAACCTTTGGTAGTGCTTAACATGAATTGCTGTTGAATCAGTTTGTCCTTTTTTAATGTCCTTGAATACTGTTAGGTATTGAAGTTGGTTGTTTTTTCTTTCCATGAAAAAAGATTCCAGTAGCTCCAGCTGTGCCTGCTGTTAGCTTGGTTCCTCCTGCATTTCCTGTCACAATGTCTGTGCCTCCTCCTGGTTATAGCCCAATTCCTCCTCCACCCTTCTTGAGAGCGAGTTTCAACCCTTCACAGCCACCTCCAGGTAAGTTAGCAAAATTGAAATTGAGAATGTAATGAGCATATGCAGTTCATGTGCCTCTACGTACATCATAGCTTTCCATCAGCTGCTGGTTACTGTTTGAACAAGTTGACTTTAAATTTCATGGTAGATTGAAATTACTTATGTCTAATTTGGTTTTATTTTTACCAGTGTATTCTGTTGAGAATAGGAATCAGCAGAAATTTGTTAAACTTTACTGAAAATTAAAATGTAAAAATCATTAAAATTCATCTCCTTGCATTTGAAATTCATCATTTTCTTCTTTGGCTGTTACTGGCAGAAATCACTTTTGAAGATGCATATGCAGATCATCTTGTAGTAAAGATGGGGCTGTTTTTGAAAACAATAACCACTGTTGCCTCTTCCCATTAATTTGTTGTTTGCTAGTCTTCAGTGGTGCAACTTTTCAGTATAAATAATGTAAGCAATATTTTACTGCAAAAATGTATTTGCTTCCTGTGTAATTATTTGGCATTTTTTTCCATATAGGCTATATGCCTCCCCCAGTTCCACCTGTGGTTCCACCACCTGTTGTCCCACCACCTGTTGTCCCACCAGTTGTTCCAACACGTAAGTGTTTGTTTATATGTTATGAAATGTTTAGTTGTTTGATAGACGCTGTTATTTATTCAAAAGCAAATTAATCCTGCATAATGGAAAATAGCAACACAGAAATTTTTATTTAGCTGGTTTAAGCAGGCATTGAGAAAAGATGTACAGAGCTTTTGAAGTTGACGGAAAAAAATATACCTAACGTGAAAAAAGTAGTGGCAAGTTGTTTATTATTTGTATGCATAGTTCAGTATTTGAACCTCTCTAAGAGATGTATCTGTTACAGGAGCTATTTGTTGTTCGTCACTGAATAATTTATTTTTGTTTAGCATTCTAACTAATGTTTAAAAATATGTTAGAATACTGGTTGCTTAGGTTGCCTGTGGCTCATGATCTCTACCACAAAAACCCTTGAACATTACATTGCTGATTGAGGATAATAAATTATTATCAGAAATGTAACACTTAAGGTGATTATTTCCACTTATTTTGGTTTATCAGCCTGACCTCTGCCAAACTAATCTTGAAGGCTTGAATATATAATTACTGTGATACACTTCTGTTATTTCTCTACAGCTTTAGTACAGCCTCCATTACCAATTGCACAAGAGACGATGAAGGATGTTCCTTTTACTAGCCTTGTTCTACCAGTTGGCACAGTTACTAGCAATCTAGCTACTCCAACATTGTCTGCTGGAAGTGTTTTTAATCCTCTGCCAATCAGCAAACCAGAATCAGATGAAAAAGGATCACATCTTACAGACCTTCAGATCTCTTCCAATGAAAACAGTAGATCTGGTAAGAAACATCTTAATTGTCTGATATGATCACATACAGGAAGCATCATACTTTGAGAGATGTTTTTGCAAATCGTAGTCCATTGCACTAATAGCCACAGAATAGGAAGTTTTAGGCTGGGTAGGGTATCATTCTGAATTTAATTTGGAGAAGTGGTGGGAACCATCTTTGCCATCATCTAATCATTCATCTCTAGCAGCTTATGCTCAGGGAAGTTTTCTTCATAGTCTTCAGAAGTAAAGCCAAGACTGGGAACCCGTTAGAAAACTTAAAAGTGCAGTCTTATTAGACAAGTGGCAATGGAAAGGAGCAGGAGAGTAGGATCATATGATATTTATAGAATTGCATCAAAGATTTTAATATTTTCATTGCATAAATTGGATGATAGCTATGGGGTTTGTCAGTTTTAAGCTGCTATACCTTCTCTACTACGTGGAGACATTAATTTCTTTAGCATAGTGTCTGTGTATCATCAGTGTGATTAAAATAATGTATGTTCATCATAGAAACTGAAACAAACCTTGTCAGCAGTATCATCATTCCATGAATTAACTGAACATGTATTAAGCTGCATTTTGTTTTGAATGCTGTGTGTTGCACTGGTATTTTCTGTTAACTGTTCTTCTTGTTACTGCATTTTAGTGCAAAATGATGTCTCAAGTAGCTCTGGGCTTGTTGGAGGAGTGCAGCCACCCAGTGTCTCAAGCAATTCTGGGCTTACTGGAGAAGGGCAGCCACCCACTGTCTCAAGTAGCTCTGGACTTGCAGGGGGAGTACAGCCGCCCAGTGTTTCAAGCAGCTCTGGACTTGGAGGAGGAGTGCAGCCACCAGCTGTTTCCAGCAGTTCTGGTCTTGCAGGAGGAGTGCAGCTTCCTGCTGTTTCCAGTAGCTCTTCTCTTGCTGGCGGGGTTCAGCCAACTAACGTCTCAAGTAGCTCTGGACTTATGGCTGGAGTGCAACCACCAAATGTCTCAAGTAGCTCAGGGCTTCTAGCTGGAGTGCATCCACCCAGTGTCTCAAGCAGCCCTGGCCTTCTGACAGGAATGCAGCCACCCAGTGTCTCAAGCAGCTCAGGAGTTCTGGCAGGAGTACAACCACCAAGTGTTTCAAGCAACTCTGGGCTTCTCATGATGCCACCACCCAATGTTTCAAGTAGTTCTGGACTTATGGGAGTGCCACCACCAAATATTTCAAGTAGTTCTGGACTTCTGGCAATGCAGCATCCAGCTGCAGTTCAAAATATGCCTCATTTAAATATTAGTAGTCAAAGGATGCCAGGAATGC